CAGCTAGTGAAAATTTCCATTGTGCTTCCATTTTCGGTTTGCAGAACTATACAGTTTTTGGGCTTCATGGTTCTTATTTTGCTGTTGTTATTTTTCCCTATAGATATAGTACGATCTGTGGTTATAATTAGCTTGTCAGTCGCCCCCCCGCCCAAATGCCTGCTTTGTGATAAGAGCTGGTTACCTCTGATTTGGGTCTGGGCCCATCGATTGTGATAGTACCTACATACGATGGTATGGTATGGTATGGCATGGTATTTATTTATTTTTTCGGTGATTGTCGGTGGTGGGGAATGTGGTGCTAGAGTATAGTTATCTGTGCGGTTGTTGTGGCTCTGCTAAGCATATATTTTACTATATCTATGCGAATGTGTGTGTTAGTGCGGTCTAGTTTGATATCAGTGTACGTTCAGGGGCTTTTAATTGGGTCGTTAAATGTTTTCGTTGCGTTTTGGGAACTTTTTGTTGTTCTTCTTTTTATCATGTGACTAAACGAACTCTGCTGAATGGAAGCGTATCGAAACGAATCGGATTGGAGTGCCAGAGTGCCAGAGTGCGACTCTTCAAGGTGCCTTGGTTAAGAGCCTGAGGCGAAAAGTCAACTGCTTAACCCATTAATGCCCAATCAAATTCAAATTGTGTGATTTGATATGCGCACACGAGCAGAGTTTGCTTTTGGTCCTACCTCCGACTCGGCTTCGATGACCTTCAGTCTGCCTTGATGAGGGGTTAAAGTCGCCTTCGGCTTTAGGGGTGGCTACGGCTTACACATGTAACTATTGGCATGCCCTCGAGTGTGTTACGGGGGTTGCTGCTGCTCAGTTTCCAGCCCCCTTTTTGGTTCTGATGGGTTTATTAATACCCAGACGACGCTCCTCCACACTCGCTAAATTGTACCCGTGTATGTTTCTGTTTGTTTCTTTCGGGGTTTAATCACCGAGAATGCAGAATGCCTAATATATATACACTCTATATATAAATACATATATATACAATCTCGCTCTCCCCTCTCTAATGACTGAGGGGGTTGTTGGTGCAGTCTTTCTGCGATTTGCAAATGGTTTTCCGCGTTTAGGTTTTGTTTTTCTGTCATTTACTCGTTTGTATCACATTTTTATTTCCCGTGTGAAAATCGCAAAACAGATGAGCGAGCGGCAAACAGGAAGTGGCCAGGATGGATGGCAGGAGAGTGAGTGAGTGAGGAAGTGGAGGACACGAGTGCCTTCCCTTTACTTCCTTACTTTTTTAGGTAGCAATTCTAAAGTCTCTAAAGTCCTTTCGGTGGTTGCTTGATGGGTTGTGATTTGGTTGCCTCGGTGGTTGATTGATGATTGTCTCGCGCTCTGTTTCCCCGAGTTCCTGTGATCCTTTTCTTTTATTTTTTAGCGAGAAGTGAGGTGTTGAATGGGGTGAGGTAGGTGGTGGTGGTGGTGGGTTGATGACATTAGAGGGTGTTTACGATAAGCTCGAAGCGTTAATTAACCGTTAGATTGATCTGGTAACCGGAATTTTAAACTGTTTTTTATGCTGCGGAAAATTGGGAGAGTTTTTTAGGTAAAGTGGCAAGCAAGAATGGTGATCATCCCTTTTTGTAGTTGTTTAAAAGGTAATTGAGATACATTTGCAGCTTGACATAAATTGAGCAGTTTAAAAAGCAAAATTTATACAAAATACATTTAACTTGAAGATCTTCTTATTTTTCACTACACAACATTTTCCCTCAACGGAAGTGAAACAAAAAGACGTTGTAGATCACCTGTGCTGAATGGTTTGCCTATGGCTGATCTTCCAAGAAGGTTAATTCCCAACTCATTGGCATATTTCCAGAGCATTTTCCATCTCGATCTCGATCTATTATTCTTCGGGAATCTTCCAGGCAAAACTATGTACATATTTCCCGTTTCATGGGAACTCCCTGTCTACCTGTTCTCACTTCACTTTGGGTTAAGCGGAGTTGCGACTATTGCAAATGGGTTAAGGTTTACCTGGGGTCGGCTCTTTTTTTCTTCTTCGCGGTCTCTGTACTTTTAAACCGTAAGATGTTCGACCTTTTCTTTGTTGCTTTCATCTTCTTCGCAGCGATGATGAATTACAAGCGAACCGAGAAAAATGTCTGCCGAGAAAACTCCCATTGTGTCGAGGGGAAAATGGGGGAAAATGCGTGGCATGTGAGAAAAAAAAACGAAAAATCGAAAAACGGCAAACAACAAGATACGGGAGGGAAAATTTTCTGTAAGCTGGAGTTGGGGGGAGAGTGTGTGCGAGTGCGGAGTGACCTTTTTTTGGGTCTCTGAATATTTTTTCCAGCACCTCTGCCCCTTTTCCCAACACACACACACACAAAAGAAAACCGAAACAGAAACCGAAGAAGACGCACAGACACAAGAAATGGGCGAAAACATTGTCGAACTGAGAGAAGTAAGTGACAGACTTGAGTTGTTTTTCAGGCAAACGAAGCGGATCGTTGGGAAAATTTCTTTCTTGGTATCGATATGCCCACTTCCACCGGCAACTATATACAATTGGGGTCGAGATAATAGGTCTTATTAATGGAGTTTTTGAGTAATTCAAGGAGTTAACTAAGTAAGTTTAAAAATAATTGAGAATCTTTAGTTCTTCAATTATTTTACCAGGAATTCTACAAGATCTTTTCTTAAGGAAAACATTTCCTCACAATTATAATATGAAAATAGATATATTATTGTATATTAAAATTATTGAAATGTTGACCACAAAATTATATATTTTTTAATACTTAATTGTGTTTACAAGTGGGATTAATTTTTTACAAAGCGTAAGTTATGTATAGTGATAAATAACTCAAAGCTAAACAATATTTTCAATATACGGAATATGAAACCAACAATTTAAAGTTAAAAATGCAAAATAAAATTCATATAATAAGAGATTATACTAATTTAGAAATATTTAAATCTTTTATGTAAAGTAAAATTGAAGTCATTACATAATATATTCTGTACCATTTAAAATGCCCAAAATAACCTGTAGATATCTTTGTATCTTTAGCCCTATTATCTTAACCGCAACTGTACATATCCGATGCGTACTTCTGGAAAACGCTTCAATGGAAAACTCCAGATACAAATACCTATGTACACTACAAACAAAGCAACAGCAGTGGGTCGAAATGTTTTTTCTTTATTTTTCTTTTTTGCCTAAATATCTTCTTCGAGTCTCTGAACTGAATGGTTTCTTGGCCTCTTCCCTTCAGATACTTTTCGTGGCGTATCTGTGTGTATGTTTGTGTTTGTGTGCGTCGTGTGTCAATTATGGGTCAGCTGTGCGTGAGAGCGAGGCAGCGACAGAGAGAGAGAGAGAGTTAGAGAGATGGCTAAAGAGAGAGAGAGCTTGAGCAAGGGGGCGGTTGTTGGGAGGCGGTCCAAATAAACAGCTGATTTGGGAATTCGGCATCAGAAGTCGGTCAGAAATTAATCTTTCGAATGCGTATCTTTAAAGTGTGTGGGAAACCCCGTGTATCTTTGGGGGAGGTTTTTAATTTTCATCAATTTAAATTAAGTGAAAAAATTAATTTCCATTAAGTGAATAAATATTTAGCTAAGATAATTGATATAAGAAATATTTACAATGTATGGAGAGTTATTGTATTTAAATTGTATAGCTAAGATAGTTGATAAGAAATGGTAAGAAATTGTTTATTAATTTGTAAATGTGTTGTCTGGCTTTATATGAAATTTGTGTGTTACTTTTATGTATTTTTTAGATCTGAGTTTAATGAAGTTTGAATTATTTTTTTTTTATACAGTAAGAAATAAAAATCTTGTAGAATAGAAAAAAAAATCTTTGAGAAAATATTGGCTGGAAATTTATGTGGAGATAAATTTAACTCTATAAATTAAATACATTTTAATGTGAAACTACGTTTTTATAATATGAAAGAATGCACTATAAATTAATGTTCAATTAAAAAATATATATATTTTCTCACAAAATCATATTAAAAATTAACTAGTTTAGAATATTTTAACTTTTCAAATTCCAACTAATATTTTAAACTGGTAATAAAGACATGTCTTTAATTCTCGTTGAAAAGGAATTGTTTCACAACAAAAAAAAAATTATTAATTCCTACAATTCTCCCCCTAAAATATATTCACAGCTCTTACAAACTAATTAAACTACACAACTATTATTATCATTATTAATATGATTCAACAAACAACAAACAAAGCATAAGAGACACGAATAAAAATTTACATAAAATATCTAAAAACAAAAGCACATTCCATTTAATTATTTTCTGGATTTGGTTTTTCGTTTCCTTTTTGTTTTCATAATTTTGATTCAAGCACAACAATTAAAAGTTTCTAGTGTTGGAGAAATAAAATTGTTGATATGGGCCATAAAGAATTTTAACTTTTTTTTTTTTTTGTTTAGCACTTTGTGTGTGTTTATAAATTATTTTTATTTTTAGCCCAGGTGAAACATTATTTTTAGCCGGGGCAATTTTATTGACTGTCGAGTTGAGGAGATATATATACACACACACAAAGTTGAAGTTGAAAAATTCTTTTGGCTCATTTGCTGTGATTATTTTTTGTTTTATTATTTCGTTTTTTTTTCTTGTTTGGTTTAAGTGGAATTTATTTTTAGATATTTTACCTAAGTTTTCTTTTTCTTTTGGGTTTTATGGCAACAGCGCGTGGTGTATTAATTGTTGTTGTTGGTTGTTGAAGCTGTTGTTGTTGTTGGTGGTGCTGTTGTTGTTGTTGTTGTAGCTATTGTTGCTGTTGTTGCTATTCAAGGTGGGGAACAGGTGCACGTTGCAGCAGCTGCTATGTGCTATCTCTTTCCCTCTAAAGTTGTTGCTGTCTCAGTTTGCTGCTGTTATCAGTTATCACTGAAGAGTTTCTTTTATTTTGGTTGCTTGCACTTTTCACTAGTTCTTGGTTTTGTTTATTTTTAAATTTATAGATTTTAAGGGTTCTTGATTTAATTTGTTTATTGCTTTGGAAACTTACTTTTTGGAATTGCGCTTCGTTGTTTGTTTGGAATACATGGGAATTTTGTCAACAATCAATTGCATGGCATCAACAAATACATGGGACAACAACACTTGTGTTGTTATTAGCTGTAGATATTAATTGTTGCTGTTTTTAATTTTTATTTGTATTTTTTAAGGTTCACTGCAGCATTTTCAAAAACACTCACTCTTTCTCTTACTTTTCACTTTTTTGTTCACTTTTATGCTGATTTGTTTCTCTATTATTTTTTTCGTTGCGTTTTTTGTTTGTTTGTTACGCTTTCACATTTGTTGTTGGGATGTTGCACAAGTTTCTTTTTGTAATTATTTATTTACTTTTTGTTGCTGTTGTTGTATGTTTTTTTTTTTTGGTTGCCTAGCAAAATTGTTGGAGTTTTAAAAATATTTTCGTTTTCAATATATTAATTAAATATATTTTTGATTATGTTGTTGTTGTTGAATTTATTTTTCAGAATTTGTGCGATAATACTGTTGTTGTTGTTGTTTTAATAGTAATCCAAAATGTTGCGCCGCTAACAGGAACTTTTGGGGCACTTAATCCAAGAAATGTGTGCTCTAAGCGGTTTGTTTACGTTTTTTACGCTTTCTCGTATATTTTTTGTCACTTGTCACTTAAACATAAGTTTTGCAATTCTTTGTTTATTTACGGTTTGCGATTGTGTCACTATTTTTGTTTGCTTTTTGAAATATTGAAATATTTTCGAACAAAATTACGTGCGGTTTTTCGCGACTTAAAAACTCTGGTTGGTTTCACATGAGCCGTGGCTTTGAGATTTTTTTGGCCTGGCCTCGCTTCGATTCGATCCGTTTCGAGACGACAACGTTCGACGGCAGCCAGAAAGGAACTGAATGAACGGCGGCTCAGAGTAGCTTATAGTACGTATTTCCTCTGGCGAGCAATCCATGAGATACTCTGTTAGGCACAGCACTCTGTTACCCTCTCTGTTACGCTCAGCAGCTGCCGTTCGGCACCCGAACTCACCCACACGGCAAGCCGAATGGTGCCGTACGAGTACGAAGTACAGTTCGCTCTCGTCCGCTCTCGCTCTCTCTCTCTCTCACTTTCGGGTTGATTTATTTCAGGTTGGTATTTCGTATTTCGTATTCATTTCGGTCTGTTAAGGGGCGACGACGCGCGAGCACTTAAGTAAAATAATAATTATGTATACGTATGTCAATTTGTTTGACTTCTTCGCCTCGCGCTTCCCTACTATTTCTACTACCAATTCGATTTGGTAGGGTAGTAGTAGATTTTGCTACCTTTTTGACGAGAGTCACAGCCTCTGAAGACTTGGCATTTACGGGGCGCTCTCTCTCTTGGGAGGAAGAAAAAAAGGTAGTTTTGGTAGTAGATTTGCTTGCTACCTTTTTGTACAAAGCAGGCAGCTGACATTTATTGGGTTTGTTTTGAAAGCGTTTAATGGGTGCGAGTGTGCGTGTGTGTGTCAGTGTTGGCGAGTGTGTTTGCGTTAAGTAGATTTTTCAGCACATTTGTCTTAATTGTTGTGATTTGTGGTTGATTTTTTGAATGATTTACGGCGTGTGTAGTGCCAAGTGGGATTAATTGTTTTTTAAATGTCAGCTAAGGATAACCAATAATTATTATTATATCTATGTATATTCTTATGCTTAAAATATAAAATGTGGAAGAATAACTAAATAAAGTTATATTAAGCATTTTTAATTATTAATAACTAAGTAAACATATCGCCCTAAAATTGCTATTTAATTTGCTACACTTTTAACCCTTTAAGAACTTTGCGTTCGAGTGACCGCACAATTGATATACTTTAATTACCCGAATAAAAAACATTTAACAATTTAATCTGAGCATATCAATTGCCCACACACTCGCACACACACATTCTCTCACACATTTCACGCTCTCGCGCTCTCTTGGCAAAATCCACTCCCAATTTATCACTCAATTAGCACGGAAAAATGTAGTAGTGTATTTACTACGCTTCTGGCTCGCTCGCTCTCTCTCTCTCTTACAGTGTCTCCTTCTCGCTTGCTCTTTGTAAGTATGGCATATGTCCATCTCTCTTGTCGGCTCTTGCACAGCGTGAGAAACTCTCTTTCTGGTATCGGGTGTTCATCTCAATGAAATTGTAGCATATTTGTTGCCATATCGAGATTAAATTTTCAAAACACAAACGAGCACAGCACGAGAGACAGAGCGAAAGAGAGAGGGAGAATCGGCCAGAAAGAGATGGCCTTAGCCCGAGAGAAAGAGAGAGAGAGCGAGTGAGAGTTCGTTTGTATGCGTGGCTTGTAAGCTTTTGTATAATGCTCGAGGTGGGGATAAGTGCGGAGGCGGTTGGGGTGGTTGGGGGTTGTTGGGTGGTTGGGTGATTTTGTGGGTGGTTCGTTTGGGGTCGCGATTTATTGATGACGCCAGCGTCGACAGAGACGCCAACAGCGACAGCGACGGCGACCGTGTTAATGTGTTTGTTGCTCTCTGGCATAAAATTATGTTTTATTTTATTTAACATGCTTCTGCCTCGATTTTTGGCAGTCCTTGTCATAATTCTGATAAAATGGTAAAAGGGGACAGTTGAGGAGAGGGAGTCCTGCCCCAAAAAGGAAGTCTCTTTTATTTTCCAACAACAACAATTACAACAACAACTCATCGAGATGATGACGATGATGGAAGTAATGATGATGTTGGTATTTTATGTTGGCAGCAGACAGCAGCAGCAGCCTCATTGGGTTATGCTTATATGGGTTTGTATTTTAGTACTTTTTTTTATTTTTGTTGTATTTTCGTATTTTGTATTTGGGTTCGAGTTTGAGTTTGAGTCGAGTTCAGGCCCTCCACATACACATTTACTGGGGTGTGAGTGGTTTGCCGTGTGTGCCTGTACAGTGGTCACTCGCAAAATAACAAGGATATTTTCATTTTATTTAATTTGAGATGCAACATAGAAATATAACTCTTAAATCTTTAGCTTTCTTTTCTGTTAATTTATACTTAAATGGATTTTATATCTCTCATTTTATGAAAGTTTTCGAAAATTCCATTGAAAAATGTACAAAAGCAGTCCTATACTTTTAAAAAAAGTTTACTTTAAATTGTCCTTTGCCCAGTGACTTAGAACAGTTTAAAAACAATCTATACAATTTTATAAATTCGTAAATGTGTTAAATAAATAACTGCTATATAAAGTTTATTTCTAAGACCTGGAGATAATAAGCTAGTAAATGTTAAGGATGCTTGCAACATTCAATAGATACGAAACTTTTCACCAACATCAGTAACCAATTTCCATTATATGTAAACCATTTCTTCTAAATTAACTTCAATTTAATCCATATGTAATACTAAAATTATGGTAATATAAAGGCTTCACTGTGCTTACGGGTGTGCGTTGGGTACTGTGTGTAAAAGGAAGTGTACTGTGTTGTAGGCCGTCGTCATCGTCATCGTCATTCGCTTTCCGCTGCTGCTGTTGTTTGTGCTGCTGTTGGTGTATTTGTTGTTGTTGATGTAGTTGTTGTTGGTGTGTTTCTGTGGTTGTTGTTGTAGTTGTTCAGTGTGTGGTTGTTGTTGTTTTATTTTTTTTTTTCTGCACATGTGCGAGTGTGAGTGAGGGAGGGACAATGGGTATGTTTGTCGCTCAGTCCTCAGCCACTTCTTCATCATCGTCCTCTCGTCCTGCGACCTCCTGCCTTCAGCCTACTCCCTGCCCTCCTGCCTTGTCCCTTCATCCTGCGGGTATCTGCATTTGTATCTGTATCCGTATCTGTATCTGTGTAAATGCGTTGGTTGTTGGCTTGTTTCGCCACCGTTCCCTCCCCCGATTGCCATCATCCTTGATCATCGGCTGCCTACGTGCGTTTGTTCGGGTGCCGTGTGTGGTGTTGTTGTTGTTTTTGTTGTTGTGGGTTCCTGTCCCTCTGTCTGTGACTGTGCCTGTGTTCCTATTCCTGTTACTTTGGCTGTGACGGAGCACTGGAACTGCCAAATTGCTAAACAGCCATAAAACAGGGTGTCCCAGGCATGCGTGTGGGGGTGTGAGTAAGGATGGTATTTAAGCTAATCATAGGTTAGCTAATCAGAGAAGTTTGTTGAAAGTAGATACTACAGAAACTAAGTACTATTAAGTACTACCTTCTTCCCAGTTTTATTTCGAATTAGATGTCAGACAACAAGCGAAAAACAATGGATTTTAAGAGTATTTCAATTTAATTTTCTTAATTAAGACTATTTTCGGAAATGCACTTCCCATTAAAAGAATTAAAATAAAGTCTCCTCTGTGCCTTAATTGAATTAAAATATCAAATCCAAGACAATTTTCACTGAGTTGTCTCAATTGATCTGGGACTCACCCTGTTCCGGTGGCCAAAAACGGCTGTAAAAACAATTTAATGGATAAAACGACAAAAATCTGGTTTTCACAAAAACCAAAAACCCAACAACCAGGAGCAACAACAACAAAAAGGCGATGAAAGCGCTAAAAGGGGGCCGGGAAAAGGGAGAAGTTAGGAAGTTTGCTGTTGCTCTGCTGGAAGAAGAACACTCATGGGAACAGCAGCAGCAGCAGCAGCAGCAGCAGCAATAGCAACAGCAACAATGCCAGCAAAAGCAGCAGCAAATGTTGAGATTACACTAAAAGTAACTGCCAACAGCAGCAGAGACGTCAGCAGATGCAGCAGCAGCAGCAGCAGGAGCAGAATGCAACGCAATGAGAGAGTGCAGCACTAAAATCAATTATGTAGCCAGCGCAGCAGCAACACCAACAGCAACAGCAGCAACATCAACAGCAGCAGCAGCAACACCAACAGCAACAGCAGCAACATCACAGCGACTGCAACAGCAGCAGCGTGAAAATAGTAGTGGAAAAAATGATAAAAACAAAAAGAAAGAACAAGTGTCAAGACTAAGAAATACCCCGTGTTATATTTATGGTTAAATTGCGACATTTGATATTAATAATGAATATAAAGGTAGGCTTCACCTTTTTTAGAAAAGAAAATATACTTGAAAATATTTCCAACAAAACTATTCCAAATATTTCTAATTAATATTTATATTTCTTTATATATCAAATCATAATCAAACTATATAGTACTATATTAACATAAACTTCACTAAAACATAATGCCCTTTAACTAACTGATTACAGAGTATAAAAAGCGAAATAGCAAAGCACTAGACGATAGCAAACAGAAAAAAGGGGTGATGGCAGGGACGGTGGCAAAACTAGGGAC